CCCCAATTCTTAATCACATCTTTTAAGTGCCTAATTGCCACATCATTCGAACTCGCATTATCAATCGTAACACTAAAAACCTTCTCAATTCCCCAATCAATCAAGCATTTCTCAATGGCAATACCTAAATCTACTCCCTTATGACTATCAATCGGACAAAAATTCAAGATCTTTTTATGCAACTTCCAATCATTATCAATAAAATGAGCCGTTAAACACATGTAATTAATTCTTTGAATAGATGTCCATGTGTCCGTAGTAAGGCTAATTCTTTGACTATTTTGTTTTAAAAATTGCTTCAAATTTATTTTCTCATCTAGATAAATTTGATAGCAATCTCTTGAAATTGTAAAACGAGATGGAATCTTGAATCTAGGTTACAAATTAGACAAGAACTTTTTGAATCCCCTACCCTCTATATGCTTAAATGGAAGCTCATCTAGAATGATCATTTCAACTAAATCTTTTTTACTAACATTTTGATCAAACTTCCATGTGGTAAGATTACTTTCTCCCGCTTCAAGCTTTCTTAGGTCTAATTGAGTTTGGGTAGAGTCAATACAACTAAAAGGGTTTTTTTGCAAGTCAAAACATGAGACCTAAGTGAAGTTGTCCCATTTTTTGAAGGATCACAAGCAAATACCTTATCACAATAGTTACATTTAGCCTTCATGTTTTTCTTGTCATCTTCAAACTTTGTGAAATGATCCCACACCATCGATCTTGGCTTCATTGATTTCCTCTTCTTTCCTTTGCCACTGTCTTGAGTGTTACTTGGAGTTGCACTTGATTGTGGATTAGGATTGCTTGAATCCACGAGTTTCATAATTCATCTCTATGGATTGAGATTCCGACATCTACATAAAAAACATAAGAAAAGGAGTATTAAGCTTCATAGTTCACACTCCTTAGTCCTTAAGCTTAAGCCAAAAAAAAAAAAAAAAAACAATCTAGCTAGGCGGGAGGCACCAAGGCGGTAGGCTTTCATAAAAATTCTCGTAGAATCAAGAATGAAGTTTTCATTATGTACATGCCAAATCATGAATTAGTAATCGCATCCAATCTCCAAAAAAAAATCCCAATTGTTTCGAACTTTCTCTGTTTTTTTGGAATGGAATATTTACGGAATCCCCATAAATAGCCAAATAGGATCAAACCTTATTCCATATTTCCATGGTATTTACCTCTTTCTTATTCTTAATCAAGTCTCCGAGAGGGCTTAATTGATCCATGATTTATGTTTCATCTTTCGTTTTCTTTTCATTTGTTTCGAGAAATATAGCGATCCTTGCCTCTTTGGATCGTTGAGAACGGTCCTACTTTTCTAGTTTGTACAAGTCATTTTATTTTACTCATTACTATTATTCCATATACAACATGCCAACATGGTATGGGATTATTTGGACTACAAGAGCAAACCATATTACGGAGCAAGATTTGGTAAGTAATGGTCAACAAATTGGAATTCATTTATCAACTGATTTTTTTCTTCCATTTGAATTCATTTCAATAATTTCAAGGACTTATGTAAAGTTGTATAACTTGTATTTGCTAGAATATATACAAGTGAGCGATAATGATGAGCCTATCGCCTACCGGCTGCCGGCGATTAGCTAACCGCAGTGAGCCTACTCGCTCGCCGGCGGTTGGCCTACTTGGCCGCTGGCGGTTGTATATATTCTAGCAACCCATGAAAAGAATGCTTTCCGTGATTCTTCCGTTGCGGGATCATGTTATTCTATGAACAAAATTACGGGCATTTAAATCTATGATCTTTACACACAATACATTCTTTAGTATTTATGCTTACGAAGTCGAACATATATTTTGAAGACCGAGGCTTCATTGAAGTTGCTTGAATCACTTGGAGACGAGACATGAATTTTATGCATACGAGTTTCGTAGAGTTTGACAAAAAAACAAATATTTGTCGGTTTCATTATTTGTCCGAGTCCTTATCTAGCTGAACTCGTTTTCGGCATTGCTTATGCTAGTTAAAAAAAGAGTACATTTTCAAAATTAATGCTCTTGATTATTTATGGTCGGGTAATTCATAAAACAGATTGATAAGAACCTTGAAAAGAATGATGCAAGCTTGGGGCACAATTCGAGTTCCACCCTTTTCGACCACAAAATTGAATAGCTTATGGATATATCAATCGGATTCGATACTCGAAAAACGAGTGAGCTAGATAATAAATCTTGAGAAATTTTGGAATAAACGAAATTTTATATATATATATAGCCTAGAACTAAAAATCTTATGGTTAAGAAAAAAGTTTGATAACATCTATAAAGAGTCGCATCCGTACTCATTCTGCATAAGGAGAGATTGGCAAATTTGCTTTGCATTTGAAAGAGCCTCGGCTTTTTTATAATTACCAAATATTAAAGTTGCGAGAGGAAGTAGGAGCAAAAGCAAACAAAGAAGTAAAGAAGAATAGGGGAAGGAGTGAAAAGCGGAGGTGGAGAAAGAGTGAGAATGGTTTCTCAAGTAACCATTACCAAAGATTAATTTTGAGGGTCCATTACCACTTTTTCATTCTAATCTAGCAGACTTTAGATCTATCCAATAATAAACTCTCCGGATCCATTTCTTTTATATTTGCACTTGCAACAAATGATTGTTCCGAATCTAGGCAACAAAAATTTGTCGAGTGAAATTCCAAACTCAATAAGATCATTATTGTTGCTTCAAACTCGTAAGTAAAAAGAACTTTTTGAGAGAATTGCCGGTTTTTTAAGGAGTTGTAGCTCATTGATGTTTCTTGACTTGAGTGAGAATAGATTATATTGAGAAATACCGAACTTGGATCAAAATCCAAGCATTACAAATCCAAAAACAACAACCTCAATAAGCAACACAAAACCAAAAACAAAAATGTATCAATGACTCTAGCTTTCACATATTTTCGCCCCAAATGAAAAACAGGAACAACCATATGGTCTATATCATCTACAATTCATGAAAATAAACGGAACCCAAAAGATCACATTAATCTCATGACTAGCATGGTTAAGACAAGATAATTATAAAAGAAAACAAACATACAATGCAACAAATTATCAAACTGACCTATCCTTTTAATGTTGAAAATAAGATTTGCTTGTTTTCTTGATTGGTGAGATAGAGAAAGAGTGATAAATATGGTTTGAGGCGATGGCGAGAGGCAACGAGCAGCGACGGCGAGGGACTTCGGGCGAATCGGGCCTATGCGGTGGCGGCGGTAACGACGGCGGCGGCGAGGCAACGGCCAACAAGGGAGCGATAGCGACTCGACGATTCGAGCAAGGCAACACCGCGACGAGCCAACGGCAGCGGGCGACGAGGCGGCGGCAGACGGCGACGAGGGACTTAGGGAATAGGGAGTTAGGGTTAGCGATTTGTCGATTTTAGTTATTTGGAATTGGAATTTGGAAATGAGAAAAGAAATGGACAAATCGGTGAAATCACAAATGGTAAAAAGCTGAAATGTAATCGAAATTTTGGTTTTTGGGTTGAATCGAAATTTTTTTAAAAAACCGAATCGAACCGAAATAAATTTCGGTTTTTCGGTTCGGTTATAAATAGTAAATTTTAAATTCAAAACCGAACCAAATATCTTAATACGGTTCGGTTTGATTCGGTTTTCGGTTAACCGAACCGTTTGTACACCCCTACATGTAAGTGGGAGTTGATCTTTGAGTGGGTTCCACACTTTCCTATCACCCATCCCAAAAACAACGATAGCTAGATTGTAAAGCTACATATCTAATTTCTTTTGGAATAGTGGAGGAGAGAAAAAGGCATCACTCTTGGAACTCGAGGGTTGTGAGGCAAGATATTATGGGATTTGAAGAGTTGAAAAGTTTGTATGAAACATATGCCGACTTTGGTAGTTTATGGGAGAAGTGCATTACCAATCAATTTGTTAAAGATTTTTATATTCATGATGGTTTCCTCATGCGAGGAAATCAACTTTGTATCCCAAAAAATTCCTTAAGGGAAAAATTAATCTGTGATCTGTATAAGGGAGGTCTTGTTGGTCACTTAGGTCATCACAAAACCATTACAGCAGTAGGAGAGAAGCCCGCACTTGAGGAGGGATGTGTCTAGAATTATACAAAGGTGTTATGTGTGTCAAACGGCCAAGGGTCATTCCCAAAATACTAGGTTATATATGCCTTTGCGTGTTCCAGAAAACATTTGGGAAGACCTTTCTATGGATTTTATACTTGGGTTGCCTCGAACATAAAGAGGTAGGGATTCAGTTTTCGTAGTTACTGACAGGTTTTCAAAAATGGCACATTTTATTCCTTGCAAGAAGACCTCTGATGCCAATGGGATAACTAAGTTGTTTTTCAAAGAAATTGTGTGTCTGCATGATGTACCCAAGAACATTACTTCTGATAGGGACAGGAAGTTTCTTGGACATTTTTGAAGGACCTTGTGGAAGTTATTTAACTCCTCACTCAAGTTCAGTAGCACAAGTCACCCACAAATAGATGGAAAAACCAAATCAATAAACAGAACCCTCAACAATTTGATTCGTTGTATTTATGGAGATAGACCAAAGCAATGGGCTTTAATTTTAGCACAAGTAGAGTTTGCCTACAACAATGCTGTCCATATTGCTATGAGAAAATCTCCTTTTTCTATTGTGCACATCAAGCCGCCACAGCATGCTCTTGATTTGATCAAGCTACCCTGAGTTCCAGGAGTTAGTATAGCTGTAGAAAAATTAGCTAACCAGTGGCAGGATGTGTGAACTAAGGTGCAGCAGAAGTTAGAAAAAGCTAACGCTAGATATAAGGCAGTAGCTGATAAACATCGCAGGAGCCAAGTTTTTGAAATGGGAGATCAGGTTATGGTGTTTCTATGTAAAGAAAGGTTTCCAATATAAAGTTATAACAAACTAGAGCCTAAGAAGTATAGCCCCCACAAGATACTGAAGAAGATCAACGATAATGCCTATATTATGGATTTGCCAAACACAATAGGAATTTCTAAAACCTTGAATATGGCTGACATCTATCCGTTTCATTCTCCTGAAGAACCTTTGTATCCAGATGTGCAAGCTAACTCGAGGATGAGTTTTCTTCAAGTGGAGGGGACTGATGAAGAATGTTAGATTGTAATATAAGGAGAACGTAAGGAGTAGAATAGGTGGCATGAAAGTTATGTGTTTATCTTAAGTTACGTGTCTATCTTAATACCTTAGCTTTAGATATAGTATATGTTAGGATTTTAGTAGTTGTATTCACTTAAAACACTCTTTAGGGCAGGGTAGCTGCTATTTAAAGGAGTACTACAATTTTTTTTTTTACAAGTTTTGAATAAGATTAAACATTGAGTGCTGACTTTTCAGTTGAATTTATAAACACGAGTCAGCCTCTGTTCTACTCTGTTTTACAACATCGAAACAGGGGCTGTTCTTTCTTACCTTCTTGCTGTGTCAAGCTGTCTCTTAGCTATGGATTTGGTTTGGTCAGTTGCTCGATGTTACACCAAGGGCAAATATGATACAATAGCTGATGGGTAACTGGCTACCCAAAGGTAAAGTCATCACGCAGAAGGCTTTCTCCCGTATGGTAACATTCAGTTACATGGTCTGGGAAATTTGGGTGGCCAGAAACCAAGCTTATTTTGAAGATGTCTCGATGAATGTTGTTGGCATCAAATACAAAGTTCTGCACTGGTTACATGACTTGAACAAGTTATTCTAGTTGAAACGAAATTCTTCTTTCCATAACAGTTTGTGTCTTCAGGCTCTGGGTATTGCAGTACAGATGTCAAGCGTGATAAGAGGAAGATGGGTTAGGTGGAACCTTCCCCATGTAGGCATACTCAAATTGAACGTGGATGGTGCTTTTAGAGGTAATATATGCACTGGAGGAGGTATACTATGGGATGAAAAAAGATCTTTGGTTTTGGCTTTCTCCTGTTTGTTTGGTTCCAAGCTCTAACAATAAAGGTAAGGCTTTAGCACTATTAGAGGGGATCAAAGTATGTGCTCAGTATGGTTACTTCCCTCAAGTTATAGAAATGGATTCAGCACTCACTATGGCAAGAATGTTACACACTAGAGAGATCCTGTGGAAGCTTATATATATTTACAGGGACTGCTGGGCCAGCATATCTCAAGAGTCCAGCCTCTAGCATGTATTTAGAGAAGGAAATCAAGTAGCAAACAACCTGGCTTGTTGGACCTTTGAGCATGCATCGTGGAAAGTAATCTTCTCTGCTACAGAGCTTCCAAGTAGGCCATCAAGAATGACAATATAGGTTTGTTCTCTTTTCGGGCTTCTTAGTCCTCTGGATTAGATTTAAAATTTCTGGTAATAAGAGTTGGTTGAGGAAGGTCATATGTTCTAGTATAATATAAACTTCCACTTCACAAGAATGTTATTATTTTTTTAGCTTCTTTTATTTATTTCTGGGTTTAGGTCTCGTTGTCCTCCCAATATGTAGGGATAGGCTGGTTTGTCCCCTTTTGTATTTTATTCTACTTTTTATCAATAAAGTTCCAAGATACCGTTTTTGTTCCCAAAAAAAAAAAAAAAAAAAACCACTTTTGAGTGAGTATTTCTAAAAATTTTTAACAAAAGTTTTATTTTTTACATTTGAGTCAAATTAAAAAATTTCTAAAAAAATATATAATAAACTCTTTTAAAGTATTATAAAATTATAAACACCATTCAAAAGTTTAATTTTTTTTTAAATACTATAAAACTTTCATTTTATACTCAAATTTTGTTTACTACTGTCATAGAGATAAATTAAAACCTGTAAAATATATTTTAGATTAAAAAAAAACTTTTTTCATTTTCACCTATTTATTTTTGAGTTTTTTTTTCAAAATTTATTTATTTATTTAAATTTAGTCAAAAAGAAGGTAGAGTGATAAAATTAAGACAAAAAAATAAAAAATAAAAAACGAAGGTGATACATGTTACAATCTTATGATGCTAACATTACCATATAACATTATTAACTCAAAAAGTTAACAAAAAGAGATAATTAAGACACAAATCAAACATTGAAGGATGAATTTGAGAAAAAAAAAAAGTAAAAAGACATGATAAAAATGAAAGAAAGAGTAGAAGGACCCTTCACAATCATTAACCCGAACATTTAACTGCAAAAAATCCTGAATGCAAGCGAAACATTTTCATTTCTATATGAAATGAAGTAACATAAAGGTAAAGGGAGTGGTAGGAGCAATAATAACATTATCCATTTTAATTTTTAAAGAGTTATAGTTTTTTTTTAATATTTATAAATAATGTGGTATTTATAATTTCATTATTGATTGGGAGTAACTGCGGCAAGTAATTCTAGCGTTTTGGATGACAACTGAACCAATTTTGTCCCAGATTCAATACGTCTATACTCGTCGGATATCCGAAGAAAGCGAGCAGAACACAGAATCGAAGTTTATCCATGGACATCAGTAGACCGCCACAAAGAGCTCACCTAGAGGCAGAGGTAGTGTTTTGAGGAATTTTATTTCTCCAGCCATTTATTAGCTTTTCAATCTGGCACATGGATGCCAAGCCGCGCATGCCTAGCCGAAAAACTAATTTTCTAGAATCTGACATGGCATAACACCGAAATGACTTGGAAAGGAGCCTTACTTTCTTAAAATCCAGAATGACGCAGCTGAAAATGGGTTGATGGAAAATTATCATAGTTTGAAAGCGAAGCAGCCACACTTTATAACATAGTTGGCGTTCAATTTATTTCACACATGGAAAGATAGCCAAAAAAAAAAAAAAAATTGAATAATAAGTGATCTCTAAATCAAAGTGGTATCCTTCCAATTGAAATTTATTCTATTGTATTTGACCCTTTTCAAATTAAATATCAAGAAATGATGGCTCATGAGGCCTATAAATATCCCTAACTCCCTCTGACAATGTAGTACACTTGAAAATTTTTGAGACACTACTACGCCTCTGAGACCATGGCTAGCGCGAGGCTTTTGTTATTCTTTGTCCGGATTTTGCTTTTCTTTTCGATGGTCGAAACTCCTGCGATTGATCGGATTTCTCGCGGGAGAGATCGTTCATTGATGGAGAGTGCCAAAGAAATGTTGAAGGAAAGCATAGTAAGGCAAGAGATAATTGGAGGTTTTAATGAGTCTTTCAGACTTAGGCCCGGCGGTCCTGATCCGCATCATCATCATCACTAATTAATGATCTTGATGCCCCAGAGGAATTGATTCATGAAAAAGGAAACGAAATTGCAGTAGCTTCCTAAAAACACAAAACATCCCATTCACAACCAAATCATCGACAGAATATATGCTCGAATGGGAAAATAAGGTGATAGCTAGCTACTACATTTTCTTTCTTAGAATAGGATTCTACCAAAGAAAATGTGGTAGCTAGCTAATACCTTATTTTCCCTTTTCGAGCATGCATTCTGTCGATCATTTGGTTGTGAGTGGGATGTTCTGTGTTTTAAGGATTTTTATTGGAACATTTCTTTACTATGATGGGGCGATCTTTTTTTTAATGGTAATTAATTATATAGCAGTTGTACTTTCTTATAATAAATTGTTATGTTTGGTACCAAAAGGTTTCAACTATCGTACATTCTTTAAGCAAACCAATTATTTGGTGAAACAGTATTTAAGTGCGCACATAAACTGGTGCTGCTGGCGTCAAGACAATATAGAGTATAGATTAATTAGTCACTTTTTTCTGTATTTTACGCCCCAATCTCACGTAGCATATACCGAAAAAGATACATAATTATTTAGAACTAAAAAATCTTTTAAAACATGAAAACAGAAAAAATCACAAAACTCAATTTTTATTTCTCATTCTTATTTAGTTGCCAAAAAACTATTACTAGAAAAATTAAAAAATCTTATAATATTGAAAATAAAAATAAAATTCTAAAACTCTAATTTCCTAATAATACTTGCCTAATTAAACAAAGAATAAATAGGTCAATATGTCCTTATATAATAGTTAGAGTCTATAATTTGTTCTTACATTTGTAATTACATCTATTATATCATTAAATAATTTTTAAGTCTCTCTAATATGTTATTTTGATTAATTTTTTGATCATGAATACATTTTTTGATTGAAATGCCTATCACTAAAATATTGGAAAAAAAATACTTAAAGTCACATGACCTACATGTTTTATTTTTAAGTCTTTAGATTTTTATTTTTTGGCATTTTAGACAGGGGAATTTTGGTAAAAATATTTGCTCATGGTTGAAAAAATTAATTAAAAAGATAAATTGAAAACTTGAATAATATTCAAGAATATAATGTATACAATTAGAAAGATAGACATAGATTGAAGACTTAGGTTATTATATAAAGACAAATTGACCTATTTACCTTATTTATCCTTAAATAAAAGTTTAAAAAATGATTTAAAAAAACCTTACCAATTAAATAAACATTATAGTAAAAATAATAAATAAATCATCACAATATTTTCTTTCTTCACGAGGCCCTCCCACTTCAAAAAACTTGTCCAAGAGTTCACTATTAGAAATTGATCTCTTCAATGCCATAGAAAAAAAATATTTGGAATATAACAATATGACCACTTTCTTGCTACGGTAGCTTGCTTTAAAGCTATTTGTTTGAAACTTAAAGAAGTTTAATTTTGAAAATACTATATTAGAATAATTTTCCTTTAATGTCCAAATATTTTCCTTAATGCTCGAATATTTTCCTTTATTGCCACCATATATATATATAAAATGGAAAGTTTCTTAAAATGGAAGTTTCCTAAAATGAAAAGTTTCCTATTTTAGAAATGAGTTTCCTAATTTGGAAGTTGGTTCCAACTTTGGAAGTAAATAACCTAAATTAGGAAATTAGTTTCCTAATTTAGGTTAAAGGGTATTTTGAAAAATCATTTCCTAATGTGGGTTGCCTAAAATTATCGAAAATTGTTTATATGGATAGTCTAAATAAATTAATTAGGCTAGAATGGCTTTGGCCCAAGTAGGGAGAAGCAAAGGTTGTTTATAAGGATGAATGTCTTAAAGATAATCAAAAAGCCCATATGTAAAATAACTCCTAATTCTTAGAGGACATCCTTGGAGGATTAGGAAGCAACAACTTGGAGTCCTTAAGAGACTCTTTGCCACCCCTCTTTGTCCTTAGAGGACAAGGAATTCTCTAATATAAATATATGGTTTAGAGAGGTGCGGCACGAGTAAGAAAAAGAGAGGGAAGAAATTCGGCAAAGAAGAAAATCTAACTAGGGTACACGACAAAAGGCAAAATAAAAGGAGAAAATAGTTTTCTCCTAAAACCCTAATATACTCCATTTTTCCTATTCCTTTAAGGTTGTTGCAAACTTGCCCATATTATATTTCTATAAGAAACACTACACAAATAAAAAAAGGTGAAGCTAGCACTCGCTAATTTTGAGTGCTTATTTATAGGTGATTAGACTACGTGGATCAGCAATAGAGGCTAAACACTTGGATTTCTTTTCTACTAAAGAATTTAGATCTACGCTACAAGAGGTAATTCTTTATTCATCGCTTTAATTCAT